TGTTTTATTGATTGCATATAATATTCTACTTTTCTGAGATGTGGATTTGGGGTTTTCATGAGCTGTACACCATAATCATCACAATTATGACAAATCACATCTTGTACTCTCTTGCTTTGCATGTAGTGAGTCTTATCTCATATATTAGTTTCACCTTTTAAGTTGCATTACTGAAATAAATGAACTTTTGCACGATATTCTAATTTTTCGAGTTTCACCTGTAGGTATCATTAGTATTGTTGTTATTACTCTGTTGTTTTGTATGTACACTGAGACCTTATGCACCAGAGGAAAAAATACAGTATAGTATAACACAGCATAGTATAGTATTAACATAGTATTAGTTTAGTATAGTTTTGTATTTGTATAGTATAATTACATTCTATTCTATTTTATTCTTTTCTATATTCTATTCCAGTGATGGCGAACCTTTTCGGCACTTCTGAAAAGGTTGCGCAGAAATGTTGCACGCACATGAGCACTCTCATCAGGGCCATGCTCCAGGAAAACCAAACTTCTGGGTTCTAGTGCTCATGCGTGCCAGATGATCAGCTGGCCAGCATGCATACGGTTTTTGGCACTGCTGCACATGCGAAGGTCAGCTGATCGTCGCGCGCGTATGTGCGCTAGAATCCGGAAGACAAACAGGCAAGGCTTTGCGTGCCGGGTGATGTGGCTCCATGTGCCACTTTGGGCATGCGTGCCCATAGGTTCACCATCACGGTTCTATTCTATTCTATATTCTATTCTATCCTACCCCTCTCCCTTATTCTATTTCTATTCTCTACTCTACTCTACTCTACTCTACTCTACAGTTCTGTTCTATTCTAATCGTGGTGGTGCAGTGATTAGAATGCAGTATTGCAGGCTAACTCAGTGGTCACTGCCAGGAGTTCGATCCTGACCAGCTCAAGATTGACTCAGCCTTCCATCCTTCCGAGGTGGGTAAAATGAAGACCCAGATTGTTGGGGGGCAACAGGCTGACTCTGTAAACCACTTAGAAAGGGCTGTAAAAGCACTATGAAGTGGTATATAAGTCTAAGTGCTACTGCTACTGCCATCCTACCCCAATTCCTATTATTTCTATTTCTATTTCCATTCTAATGTGTTCTGATATCTGCCCAATCATATAAATGGAAAGAGGGACATGTCGTGAAATAACGGACCTATTTCACTATATGGATACTTGACGCAAAAACTGAATTTTAGTAAAGCTGAGTATCTTCACACATGAGCCGCTTTCCACATGATATACAAATTAAAGCAAAATTACCCAGATTCCACAAATCAAACTGAAGCACTTGGTGTGCTCATTCTCCCTTGGTTATTTTTGATTATTTTCTTGTAGGTGTGTCATTACCCAAATTAGGTAACATCAACCGTACAAATCAAACCGGACACAACCATGTTTAGTTGCACATAGCAGAAGAGTGTCAGAACGTGAAGGGCTAAAGCATGCCATTCAGCAAAGCAAATTTTATTATGCACTTATTTTTGCATGCTGCTGAATAATTCTGACTCCCTGCAGCTTACAACAAAAGAAAAGACGATGAAGCGAAACAAAGAAGAAAAACCAGATGTGGGTATACTTACAGCAGCCCTGTTCGTCTGAATTGTCATTGCAATCGAGGCTGTGATCACATTTCTTGTTTTTCCCAATGCACTGACCACTCGCACACCGGAACTGGTCAGTTAAACAAAGCACTGGAGGGAGGAAACCAAATCCATTATTAACAAATGAGAAATATATATATATTTAAAATTGCAAGTTGGATATTCAACATAAAGACATAGGACAAGTAATCGCATCATTGAACATTTTAGACTGAACAAAAACAATCACGCCTTATCTTGGATCACCATTATTATTGTATACCTTATTTTAAATTTTGCAGCTTGCTGTTTAAGATAAAATTTTCCCAGGGAAGCGTACAATGAAAGGTACCCTTTCAAAGCCCTGATCTGGCGAAACTAAACATGTAAAATACATTAACAAGGGATTTCAAAGGAGCGGATGACTTACCGTATATACTCGAGTATAGGCCGACCCGAATATAAGCCGAGGCACCTAATTTTACC